GCTAAATCCCTTTCTTCCGTCACTGTGTTCCATCACAAATGCCCATTTCCTGTCATGAGTCTTCCAGCCCCTCCACCCACCTTCGGCTGCCCGTCCAGCAGCCCGTTGAGCTTGGCCAGCGACCTCAGCGACAGGGCGTGAGGCAGCGACGCCTCGGGGTCCTTCCCCAGCCTCCTGGCCCGGTGAGCGGCGCTCCGGCTGCAGTAGCACGACACCAGGAAACCCGACAAGATGGCGCCCAGGAAGAAGGCCACGAGCACGCAGGCGATCAGCAGGGTGTAGTGGACGTTAGCGCCGGCTCGCTGGTCCAGCTCCGGGAGGCGACGCACTCCTGCAGGAAGTCGGGGAAAAAGGGTTTAAAACTGTGTGGAAACAAAAATAACAAATCAGCAAAGAACCAGGAGAGGTTGTTTTTGGAGCAAAAAAACTGCAGGAGGAAACAGAAAATGTGCCACGAGAATATAAAATAAACACATCAGACGTATACAGTATCTAGTGTTTGGGTAAAGTACTAAAGGTTAAATGAAATGCAGAACTCAAAGTAAGTTCCTCGCGGGATGAGCAAACATTTTGTTGAAAGGAAGCTGATGAGAGCATGGAGGGTGAGGAGGAGGAGGAGGAGGAGGGAGAACAGATGGGAGAGAGGTGAGAGCAAGGTGAAGGGGAGGAAGAAAGCAAAAAGGGTGAGAGACAGAGACGAGGATTGGACTTAATGAGAAAGAGGTGGTTCACAGGTGAGAAAAGAGGAAGAGGAAGAAAAAAAAAGGACGAGGGGAGGCGAACGTAAAGGAGGTGAGATCTGAGGGAGGGAAGTGAGGAGGAGATGATTGGATTGGAGGGGGGAGGAGGACAAAAGGATGGAGGGATGAGGAGGGAGAGAAATGAGGAACGAGGGGGGAGGAGAGGAGGGGTGAGATGAAGGAGAGAGGAGATGAAAGAGAAAGAGTTTATTGTTTGGCAGCGTTCGCCTCGTCAGGTCCAGAAACAACATCAAAGCCTCTCAGATACAATGACTCATCAGTGTGTCCGGCAGCGATACAAAAACACACAATCAGACACACAAACACACACACACACACAGCTCGGGACGGACGGCGCGATCGATGCTGCCGTGATCGATACCTCGCGAATACTTCAAAAATGCTGATCATGTGGCTTTCCAAATGTTTAAGATGTTTGGTTGTTTAACCCCGAGGATTAAAATCTGATTAGCTTTCAGAGTAAAAGCTGAAACATGCAGATTAATTAAAGGTCCCATACGGTGAAAATCCATTTTTATTAGGGTCCGAGC